GGCGTGCGAACGCCGTTGACGTCACCGATTTGTATAGGTATACATGCACTGGATATGTATAGGCAAACACATGGCAGCTATGGTGCATGTATATACAATAGCCAGTGACGTCACGCCGTTCGCACGCTAGAATATTTCAAATGGGATTGCAGTAGTGCTGCCTTGATAATAAATGCATAAATACATGGTGTAAAGTTATAGAAAGTGTTCAAAAAGATAGGTGAGGATGTCCATGGTAGATAAATAAGTGTTAAAAAGCCTGATCATTTGCGTTTTGCGATCCATTTTTCGTGGAACCAGTCGGGACAAGAGCAGCAACGAAATCTAGCTAAAAATGTTCTATACTAAGCCTGCGGCAGTTAACGAACGCGTCTATGTATAGTAGGTCCTAGTACTACTCTACTAGAGCTATGATGAGACTAGCTCTACTATAGCCCGCGGATAGCTGCCGCAGGTATCCGCGGGCTTAGCTCTAGTACTATAGCCCGCGAATCGCTGCCGCAGGGCTGCGGCCAGCGATCCGCGGCTATAGTACTAGAGCTACCGCGGGCTATACTATACTATAGTCTATAGTACTAGAGCTATGATGAGACGTGATAATAGAATACCTTATTTGCAAGATGTTGTCTAAACTAGAGTAAGACTCATAGTCATACTCACATACCATACTTCCTAGTCACACTTATATTACTTATATAGTCCATAGATATACACAACACATGGTTGTGTATAATCTATGCGTCAAAGTGTGTATGTCGTAAGTGTGTCATGTATCAATAATGTGTCAAAGCGCTTTGGTATAGTCTCATACTTTCCTCTCGTTATGGTTTCGTCGTGCATGGAGACGAGCATCGGATTCGTCAGGTTTTCGTAAACAAGCATTTGATTCGTGGAATTCACATTTAATACTCATATAATCTAAATATAATACTAAATCATCATATAAATTCGCGCACGCACTTACGCTGCGCAATTATGATGTTTAGTAACATTAGTAATTACGTTATTAAATAAATAATACAAATAATTTCCCTGGCGGTATCGAACCTGCCGAGCCTCTAAGCCTAAGGCGTACGCGTTTGTTTGATCAGCAGTCCACGAATCTCGCATCCCCTGGATCGAACCCTAACCCAAACAAACGCAAATTCACTTTCAACGTTTGCGTTTCCGGCTGTTACCAAGAGTTGCTGTTACCTATCACGGGATGTTCATATCAAAGAACAAGCTGTTATTGCTGAGGCGGCGGGCCGCGATATTGGATGCCCTTCAAATCACCTCGTAGGCAGGGTCGGTTCAGTGAATCCGGACCAACAAACAGTCAGCATCCACGGATCCAGTGATCGGACCAAAACAAACACGCCCTAAGCAAATACATATGAATGCCATTATCCATTATGCTAATCGTACGCAGAGGAAGAATTTTCACGCGCACGATGGTCTAGTGGATAGCGTCGTGGACGCCATATGGTCGCTGGTAAACGAAGAATGACCGAATTGACGCATCATATGAGAGAGTATATTATTTCACGTTTATTTTTCCATTTAATTTTCATTCCCAATATCCCTATCAAGCTATCCAAGTTAGAGAATGAATTTAGGATGATTATTACCATTAAGTAATTATACGATATTTAAACAATATATATGTGTATGTGTATATATGCATAATATTACGCATCTATTTAATTATAGAAGTATATTATTAATAATATACTATTAATAAATGAGTTTATTTTATTGATATTACATCATTATGAATTATCAGAAGTCATCTGTTATTATGCACTCCTGATATAATGGTGTATAACTGGTATAATAACATGCAATAGAATTGTTGTTCATTTTCGACCACTTTTTAATATCAAAAGATTTTTTAATATAAATTGTTATGGTTTCAGAGTCAAAAGAACATTGCTTCAAATCAAGCTTAGAAAAGCTTGGCATACACACAGGCATCCTTGAGCAATTTTAGCTACCGATATAAATTATATCAGGAAAATGTACTATCAGAAGGCCAGTCAAGATGACCCAGCTTCTCCCCTCCTCCTTCTCCACCAGCTTCTCCCTTCTCCCCCTCCTCCTTCTCCACCAGCTTCTCCCTTCTCCCCTTCCTCCTCCTTCTCCACTAGCTTCTCCCCCTCCTCCTTTTCCACCCCTCCTCCTTCTCCACCAGCTTCTCCCCCTCCTCCTTCTCCACCAGCTTCTCCCCTCCTTCTTTTTCACCAGCTTCTCCTCTTCCTCATTCTTCACTAGCTTCTCCCTACTCCACCTACTAGTACTACTCTAAACTTCCTCCTCCCTCCCCCTCCCCCTCCCCCTCCCTACACTGCTCCTTCGCTACACTGTACCAGAACTTGGTATTAGTGCACAACCTATCGTAACACAAGACGAGCTGTCATTGGTCGGGTCGGGGCGGGGCGGGGCTATCTCAGATATTTCGCACTCGTCAGATATTTCGCGCGACACCGGCGCCGCCTCTAAGGGCGTACGTGTTTGTTTGATCGGATCCACGAATTTCGATCCACTGGATCGAACCCTAACACAAACAAACTCAAATTCAATTCACTTTCAACGGTTTGCGTTTCGCTGTTACCAAGAGTTGCTGTTATATACCTATCACGGGATGTTCATATCAAAGAACAAGCTGTGATTGGCTGAGGCGCGGGCCGCGATATTGGATCCCCTTCAAATCCACCTCGCTAGCAGGGTCGGGTTCAGTGAATCCGACCAAACAAACAGTCAGATCCACGGATCCAGTGGATCGGACCAAACAAACACGCCCTAAGCAAATACATATGAATGCCATTATCCATTATGCTATCGTACGCAGAGGAAGAATTTCACGCGCACGATGGTCTAGTGGATAGCGTCGTGGACGCCATATGGTCGCTGGTAAACGAAGAGATGACCGAATTGACCATCATATGAGAGAGATATATTATTTCACGGTTTATTTTTCCATTTAATTTCATTCCCAATATCCCTATCAAGCTATCCAAGTTAGAGAATGAATTTAGGATGATTATTACCATAAGTAATTATACGATATTTAAACAAATATATATGTGTATGTGTATATATGCATAATATTACCATCTATTTAATTATAGAAGTATATTATTAATAATATACTAATAATAAATGAGTTTATTTTATTGATATTACATCATTATGATATTATCAGAAGTCATCTGTTATTATGCACTCCTGATATAATGGTGTATAACTGGTATAATAACATGCAATAGAATTGTTGTTCATTTTCACCACTTTTTAATATAAAAAGATTTTTAATATAAATTGTATGGTTTCAGAGTCAAGAACATTGCTTCAAATCAAGCAGAAAAGCTGGCATACACACAGGATCGTTGAGCAATTTAGCTTACCGACTATAAATTATATCAGGAAAATGTACTATACAGAAGGCTCAGAATGACATACGAATAATCGAAAACATGATCAAGTTGCAACATGAAATAATGAACAGAGTTCGTAATCAGTGCTCAGTTCCATTTGCTAATTTACTATTACGGTTACTTGTCTGGACAATATCAACAATTTAATAGTCTAATACGCAATTTCGCAGTGTTCAAACAATGGAAAGCAAAAACTTTAGCTCATACATGTCTTGACCCATACCGACCTGTTCTCCCTCCTCAACAATTGTATATACATGTCGATATATACATACACACGATCTCAACATGTATGGCAAGAAGCCGATGTGTAAAGACTTATGACAAGTAGCATAAACATGGCCAGAAAGCTGAACGCCAACTCAGCACGTCATCTTCAATTAAATCGACAAAGGAGTTTTACAATTAGTTTTACACACCTTCAAAATTCAAACAAACGGGTGACAGTCGGCTAATGATTACCCAATTCGAATCCAGTTTACTCAAGTCCTCTATTATAGTGGAAATCAAAATGAATACACAGATAGATAAGAAATTCACCCAAATTAACTTCTCCGAAACAGGATCCTAACTGCCGAAGGTCGTTGCCCACACAACTTGTCAATATTTGCTTCTTCAGGTATGCTGGCAGCAATACTAATTGAACAACGCTTAGTCTAAACGGCTAGCACCACCCAGTTTTTACTGTGTCTGTATTAAGCAGCTGCATTTGGCGCATTGCCGGAAGGTTCCATGCACGTGCTAATACGGTAAAAACTACGAGCTGAGGCATTAATAAATGCAACGGTTGGATCAGTTTAATTCGGGTCTTCCCCATTATGGCAAATTAAGAAAAGGAAAGCTGGTGATGTTACGATGATCATGAGAGCAACCGTCGGATAATTCGGCATGAATTTAGGCACACCCAGAGCCCCTAACCAGAAATGATCTGCTTGTTTACCTTTAAATATACACTACTATTTACAAATGAAGTCTAGCCGATTTCTGTCCGGGTCTGCAAGTGGAAACCATCCAACCCACACTCACGTTGATACCCTTGTGTAACAATTCCCTACCTGCAACTTACAAGTCGTTTACTCACAAAATGTAGGTTAACGACAGTTAACTATATATCACATAGTATGTGGCAACCTTTAACAGAAGCTGGCTGCTTTTCGTGTGCTGGCAGTTACCACAAGCACATTTACGCTCTATTCAGCATTATAAGTCATGCAGCAGCTACAGGTAAATATGCCGTGAAGTGAAACGTTAATCTAGTTTGTTGTGCTACTGCAAATAGTCCCGTATGTACTCTCACGTACAAAGGTCAGCTATAACGGAAGATAATTTTACTATCTCCCTTTACACTAACAAACATGAAACAATTCGACCACAACTCAATACAGCATTTGGCACATGATAGGACACCCATTTCTCACATGCAGTGCAGGCCGATTGTGCTATTACCATTTCACAAATTACCCTACATAGCCGCATCAGCGATCACACATTTCCCCAGTAGAAAAGTAGCCAAGCATTTTGGCTGATCATAAATTAGAGACAATTCAACATCACTCTTCCACATGCTAGCAAATGTTATATAAAATTTACATCCATGGTCTTTTGATACATAAAAAGGCCTCGTTTACATGCTGCTACATTTTACTACATAGAATTCTGTTTAACCTGAACTAACAACGCCTAGCTTTTCCAATACTCGCAACCCCTTTTCCTCATACTCCTCTCGTGTCATCCAGAATGTATCTTTGTCTTTCATGATATCTGCCAGCACAGCACCACCTAGGAACACCATGTGTTTACGTCGAGGTGGGTCTTCAATGCGAATCTTGAATTTCTGTAAAAGTACAATTGAGCATATGCCTGCGTAAATATACAGAGAAAATTCAGTTGACAAGACAATGGTTCATTACAGCAGCTTTCACCTGTTCAGAACTTCTTAGAGGATAGTTAATATTGTTTCACAGCTTAAGAGCTCAATACAAGAATTCATCATAACAGTGTACACACAGGCTGCTAATAAGTACAACTATGATAAATGAGACCAGCAAATTCTGCTCAAATAAACAGCCACATCACACACGTCTATTGCTAGTCACAGCACACCAACAGTAGAGCATACACACCGAAAGCGCTTCAGTATTTCCCTTCAATACTCGCTCCAAATAGAGCTGCTTGATTTCTCGCTCTAACCGGCTAGGCAGGCCAGGGTACATGGTAGATCCACCAGATAACACTACAAATGCAACGAAATCATCTTTAAAGTGATTACGTCACCGTAAATACTAAAAATAAAAAAAATATTTCCACTTTTTCACAAAATATAAGTAATCCTGTTCACTTTTTATGGTTAAATTCCTGCATTATACTTCTTATTTTATTATATTGTTCGATGTGAACATACACTCGTGACTCATACATAGCCCATAGCAAGCAATTAATGTCAGGAACACAATATCAAATCGGCCAGGTTTTTCGGATTTTTAACTAGTTGAGAAACAATCTTATCAGGTAAGAATTTGATAATACGTTTAGTCCTGTTAGTTCTTACTTTTAATGTAAAAAAATGGCAACAAAAATTTTACCATAGAAAATTCGTGACGTAGTCAATTTAAACCCAGCTATGTGAAAAGAAACATCTAAATATAACAAAAGACCATGCAGGCCACTCTGACGAGACCACAAGTTTTGACCAAAACTATATCCAATATTTCTCACCAATGTGTTTGTAAAATTCAGGTCTGGTGTCAATGTCTGCTGCTTGAATAGTATTGAAAAGAAGTTCTGCAATGCCGACTCGCTCAACGTTGATGAGATGTGGCTGGAACAAGACTTCAGGAGCCTCAAACCTCTCACCTCCTACTTTAATGACACGTCCATCTGGAAGCTGCACCGAACAAACAGAAACGTTAAGCTAACAGAAGCTATTTATAATATTTAAAATTTTCACAGAATTTACTTTACATATAAAAATGCGGAAGTATCTCGTATTTCCCCCGACTGCTACAACACTTTTCAAAGTCAACTTTCAGTGTTCAATATAAGGCTAACATAAACATGTCTTAGAACACTCGTACATTTTTTAAATAATAATACACATCGATTGAAGTCTGTTTACATCGTGTTGATGCAGTTAGACGATGATGCCAGTTGTTTCTCGCAAGACCCTGTCCCTATACTTTTACATGATAACTTGAGTTAAGTGATAGTTGTACTAGTATAGAACCACAACATCACGTAATGCGATTCACGTTTCTCTGATGATTGCCGATTTCAAGGAAATTGTCGCTATACAAAAGAATCTGGCTGCATTACTTGCTATTTTATATACCATAACAGCATAAACGTATGGTAATTTATATACAAGAGTAATCATCAACACATTCGCTGTTAGGTGGGACTATGTTTCAATATATTTTTCTCGATTGTGCAATTATTTATGAAATAAATCCTTTCAAAGTCAAAGTCACTGAATAATTACTTCTGCCACAGTGCATCTAGCATTTTGTGTCCAAGAATAGAATATAACACTTACTGTATAAGACTCTACGAGAACTGTGGTTTCCTGTGCTAGTTTTTCCTCCTGCTCTATGTTATAACCAATGTAGCACAGCTTCTCCTTTATCATCCTCACTGTCTCGAAGTCTGCGGAATGGTTGAAGGCATAGCCTCGAAGCAGTAACAGCTGGAATAAATGGAGAATACACTTAATACTCCGAGCTAGCTCGACCAGATGATGATGATGATGACACTTAATACAAACTCCAGGGTTCGCAATTATGGCGATACACCCACTTTTCCTCTAGAGTTGTAGCCAAAATATATTTGCACGACTATTCCTGTTTGCTCCTAGCTTTGCTTATTTGGATACCAGGGTGCGAAATTAACGGGAGTCCGGAGTCAAATACTCCCTGATTTACTGTCGGACTCCCTGATTTGACATATGCAGGAGTCCGTGTGACTCCCTGAAAATTCTGCCATACTAACTAGCCTCGTGGAATTACCGTATTTTTTCAGCTAATGTCCAAAGAAAATTTGGCAGACGTGCAACTGCATGAATCTTAAAAATAAGCACATGCGTTATCTTTAATTTTGAACCTCAGACTGCAGACCCCCTCTTTTTGAGGGTAGGACTCCCGTGTTCAAAAGTTAATTTCTACCCCCTGGGATACCATGCTAAACATTACCATTATTTACAATACAATAATCTAGAGTATAAAGAGGTCTATGAAATTATATTTATTTTGTTGTGAGACGAATCCAAATTATAATATTTGCCATTACGCCAATGTACTAGCTAATCTCTGATATCACACAAAACAATAATTTCGAGCCCTTATTTATTATCCACCTGCACGTAAATGCTTACACAATGTGAAAGGCCGAAAATGGAAAATTTCGTTGCTTACCTTGATAAGATAGCGTGTGATGTCCCTTCCAGCAATATCTAATCTGCGCGTGAGGTGGGGGAGTGAGAAGCCTTCATACACAGGACATACATGAGTTACACCATCCCCCGAGTCGACAACCACTCCTGTCAACAACCCTGCAACAAGGAAGACTTATGCTGAATGGGGTATACAATAGAAAACAATCAGATCAAACTGCTGGGTATCCACGCATGTATTTTACAATACTTGTCATAATAACCAAAAACACAAAATTTAAAAAACACCCAAAATGTCAAAAATTATGAAAATGCTAATCTGATCCATGCAATCGCAAGGGCTTTTTTTTATGGTTCGGTATATATCTTGTGACATATTAATTTTGAAATAGGTTTCCGACTAGGCGACTACACAAACAAACAAACAAGAGGTGATGTGGGTACATATATGAACAGTAACAATTCACAAATATTTTTATTTGAAGGTACCACTGACTTGGAAACAAAGCAATAAATATGTTAAGGGTACATTCACAAAAACTCCACATAACCTGTTGTCATACCTTGTGCATAGAGTGTTAAAACTGCCTGCACAGCTACATATACACCTGCAAACTGGTATGTCTCAAACATCACCTGTAAAGAAGGGAAAAGGTAATGTTTCACACAAATCAAAACAAAGGTCACTACATGGTTAAAGGAATTTCTTTAACAAAGGTTGTTCCTTCGTATCTGGCATGTTCAATTAGTAAATATTAAATATAATGGCTTTAACTATATAGACCATTATAACAGGGACACTACAACGGAAGAATTACAAACATTCAAATAGATCTGATACATCAAAAAATGGTTTCAACCCTATTACAATAAGGAGTCTTGATTGCCATGATAGTTTTATTATTAGTAACTACGTAATAATATTAACCTCAACAGAACCTATTATTATTATACATGGCAGTGAGATGCATAAAAACATTTCACAATTTGCTAGCCAATGTAACCTATAATTTCTCAACGCTTGCTTAATAAATTATAGCTCATGTATTGCATAAGACACTTTTACACTTACTAACACTTCAACAGACTGTAATTCTAGTTTATTTATTCTATTTTTGTTAATTATGTTATTTTTACTTAATTACATGATCATTACGGAGTATGAACATGGAATACACATGTATGGTTTGGACTTGACTAATGCTGAACAGCTTTGGGCTAGCAAATGCTAAATTTCATTTGGTTTTACAAGACCCACTCCTGTGTATTTTATGTTCTTTTGATATCACAGCAGCTTTGACCTGTTCAGAACTTCTTAGAGGACAGTTCAAAAGTATTTCACAGCTCTAGAGCTCAACAACAAATTCATCATAACAGTGTCCATATAAGCTGCTAAATACCAAACCACAACATTTAGAGAAGAAACGTTTCTAAACTATAAAAACAACAACAACCCCATTGGAAATAAAACAACCGGCACACAACCGATTTTATGATGAACATACTCGTCTAGTAGATTATATTCTATCATATCTTCTCTCGGCAAAATTCATTTCTATATTTAACCCATCTATAAAATTTTAAACCTGAACATTATCTTACACAATACCTCTATCATCTTTTCTCTGTTCTTCGTCGGATTCATAGGGGGCTCTGTAAGGAGAATTTTGCTGTCTCTTGGATTAATGTCTAATTTATCTTCACTGAAGGTGTAGTTCCATAGAGATATCATATCGTCCCAGTTTCGAACAATCCCATTTTCCATAGGGTAGTTAACTTCCAACATCTGCCGCAGTTTGCTCGCATCTTCACCAACCATTAAATCCTGCAACCAAACATGTATAGAACATCAAAATACAATGTCTAAACATTTTTCCAGGTTTAATATCGTGATGACAAGTGACAACAAATTAATCACCTGTAAACATCACGCACCATTTTGGATAAATCACAACTCCAACAACATCTAGATCTAACCTCAAAATTTAAAACTGCGTAGCCCTAACATCTGGTCATGTTAACAGCCTAGTCCTACCGATAAAGGCTTGTAGCCAGGAAAGAATTTTAAATTTACTTTAAACCTCAAATATAACGGTACTTAATTCATTTCCTAAATTCCCCATATGGCAGCTATTTAAAAATAATATGCAGTGCATATCAATCAAATTAGATACACAACAAAGAACTTACCTTAATTTCAATATCACCAACTTTGGCTGTAGATCGAATTATAGGCCTACCCACCATCGATGGAAATATGTGTGCAGGAAAGTTAGACCCTGCATACCCACATTTTACAAACTGGAATGGAAATGACACATTCATGAATTTCAAACAATCACTTGTTTTTAATTGCATTATCAACAACACATTTTTTCCAACCAATGCGTTCACAATTATGAAAACTTCCACAAGCGTACAAACTGTACGCTGGGGGGGGGAGGGGGTCAATGCCCACTGTACGCTTTCAGCATGTACGCATTTACAGCATTACGCCGAGCCCCAGCCGGCATCGCGCGCATCCTCACGCCGAGCCCCGGCCGGCCCCGTCACATTTTTACAGGACGGTTACAATTGTACATACGCACGCACGCACGCACGCACGCACGCACGCACGCACGCACGCACGCACACACACACGCATTCTGGGGTTTGAAGACCTGGCATAATTGATATCCATATATATGAACATATACCCAGGCTTATTGATCAAAACACACGAGAGCCAAGTCGGATTTAGGTCGCTGGCCGCTGTAATATAATTACAGGGTGCGAAATTAACGCGAGTTGATTTGACATATATGCAGGAGTCCGTGTGACTCCCTGAAAATCTGCTATATACTAACTATAGTTCGTTCCAGAGCACGGCCTCCTTATTATTCCCACGCGAAATTACTGTATTTTTTTCAGCAAATGTCCAAAGAAAATTTGGCAGCCGTGCAACCACATGAATCTTCAAAATGAGCACATGCGCTATATCTATATATATAGTTTTAAACTTCAGACTGTGGAGTGTGGACTCCCTCGTTTTGCCGCGGACTCCCTCTTTTTGAGGGCAGGGAGTGGACTCACCCCTTGTTCAAAAGTCAATTTCTACCCCTGTAATTATGTAATTAGCAAATGCAGCTCATCAACAGGATCATGCACCACTTTGTATTAAACTACATTTATGCCAGGGCACGTTCTGATTAGGATGCCTTACAGCAGTAGATCAGTGCTTTCAATGTGTGTGATACGGCTACTTGGGGGCTTTGGGATTACCTAGGTGAGTACTAGTAAGAGGTAAGGGGTAGGCTTATATAGGGTAGGGCAGGGTGCATTTGGGAATGACTTAATCTAACAAATAAGGCAGTTGCATAAGTTTGGGAACAAAAATATTAAGATATAGTAATTTTACCATATATACTTCTGATAAGTTGGGTACCACATACCATGTAACACCTACAGTCTGAAAACCCCATCCCTAAACCTACACATAATCACATAATCTCCGTTATACAAGTAATAAACAATAATTGGGGGCACCATATATAACCCACCTCACCCAGCAATGGCAACAGTTGTGTAGTAGTTTGATGTGCTACGAGATATGCCAATCATAATACTGGACGTGATGCGGTCATGATGCCGAGACGCACCGAGGATTGACACTTTGTGTCTTCCAATCACACTCACAGCCTACGCCGCACAAGTCTTTTATATTTTTAAAGACGGGGACCCATTGGACCACCAAATCGCCGATCTCAGGAACTAGGGCATTCTGCTATGTTAGAACGGTTTCCTACGATAGAGTTTGCTACAAATACGAAAATAACACGCTGTTTAGCGCACTGCGCTACATCCTTGTTGCATTTTCGCACCTCCGTAATCAGAATAAGCCCCGCCTTCTTCGTTGATGGACATGAATGGGGCGTCACCAACGTGACCAGTTACCGTACCTACTGTCTTTCACCAGCCTGTTTACTTTTCATAAATAATGAAATGACCGGCCGATGCATGTCGCATCGAAGTAGAAAATTTTCGGCATTTTCACTCGCTGTCGGAAGTGAACGAGTGCGTCATTCATTGAACATTGAAGTTTTTCTTCAAATTAAATAATTCCGAAAATCCCTAACCGCGCTACTCGATTGTTTTAGCCAATGAACGTAGAGCTCTGTGTGTGTGACGTCTTGCCCGCGCGCTTTATGCTTGGCTTAGCGGGCCTCGAAATGGATATCGGAGGCAGGAACCTCGCAACACGCATGTTTGTTTACATGTGTATAGCTTTGTGACGTACGGTGTTCGGGAGTTCTACGATGATAACCTCGTAATTTCTCTGCATGGAACATTTTACCAATTTACAGATATGTCACAGTAAGTGCTAACCGTATATGTTTCACATACGTTCACCTATTTTGCACACAGGCGGTCGATCATTGTGAAAAATTGTGTGAATATTCATTTTTATTCAGACGTTCCAAGTGCCTGTGCTTTCAACAGTCTTGTATGTCAATGCAAGGGCGTCAAGAGCCACAAACTCAACCCAATTTCACCTCTGTTATTGTTTACGCCTGAATGCGTGATTGATCAGGGAGGGGGTGCATGTAAGAGGGAGACATTTTCTTTGGGGTTCCGAAAAACACAATTCCACTTGAAACTAGGGGGGTCCGGGGGGCGTGTTTTTTTTACCGTACCACTAATGCGTAAAATCGTCACCACACCATAGACGGTATTTGGTACTATAACACTTGTATATATATAAGATAGCTGAATCGGTTTACAGTTAGTGTTAGGGTTGGGTTAGGGTTTGGGACAAGGTGACTGTTTGTACTTGTGTGTGGCTGCAGCGCATGCGTGGTGTAGGATGTTTACGCATTAGTGGTACGGTAAAAATACACGCGTCCGGGGGCCTGGTCGAATGGGAATTCTTGACGATTGATTCGCGCGCTGTCAAACCTTTATTGTGGTGGAATTTAATCGGGGCGGAGGTAATTTAAACGTGGCGCAACGATTGAAACGGGGGAGTTTTCCCAAACGGGGCGGGCGCGCCCGGTTTGCGCAACGTTGCCGAAGGGCTATAGAACATAGTCATTTTATGCTAGGGTTCGCAATTGCACCTGTTCCCCAAAGCTTCCACGTAAAATCGCTCACAAAACGCAAAATGATCGGGCTTTTTAACACTTATCTATCTACATGGACATCTCACCTATCTTTCTGAACACTTTCCACAACTTTACACCATGTATTTATACCTCAAAGTGCTAGCACTACTTGCGTTTCGTTTTGAATTGCTGTTGTGTACACGCGTGACGTCACCCGAAATGTAATAGGCTGCATTATAGCTGCCCCTGTGTTTTGTCTACATTTCGGGTTACTTTGAGGAATAAATGCATAACAAGAGCCGCAGAGCGTCTGGGCTCATCTGAGGTCTGTTGCTACGATTATAAACGTAAAATTTCAGTCGTGCGTAGT